AACTTTTCAATGACATGGTACACTTCACACTTGATACCTTCTGTATAGACGTATAGTAGATGAGCGGTTATATTCTTTCACCATTTTTCTTCCTTTAAATCGATAAGGTATCTAACTATCGACATGGAATCATATTTTGTAATTTATTTTGTATTAAATATATTTAAAATATTTAATTTATATTTTTCTCAATATATCATTAAAATTGTATATGAACCACTCTAAAAAATTATGGAAGAGTGCGTACTGGTGTGATAATTATTCCTACATCACTATCGTTATAGTCGTGTAGTCGTGTATCAGCGTTCTTGATAATGTACATACCTTATTCATCACAATTCGATAGCCTCTCTCTCGGCCTCTCCTCTCAATGAAAGTGCATAAAGATTTATTTAACAGTGCTCGAATCGAAAAAAACTGCAGCCTTCCAAGTAAATAGTCTTGGCTACCTACACGAAGTTAGGATACGATGATCGAAAAAATTTACGACTCAATAAAATTAACCAAACGATAATAAATAAAAATAATGGAAATCGAAAAACCTGTGCAGTACCCTAATATTGTATTATCGATCGACATATTTCATTATGAACTTCGTGAAAACAAAATACCTTCCCATACATACCAATTATTGCTATTATTTTTATACCRGTTATAAACCTCGATATTTGTTGTGTCACAAACATCGAACATATTTTTCCAAGAGAGCTGTTTTTAATTATTTAATTTGTTAAAATATTATGGGAAATTTTGTTAATTATACTGTCAGAGATCAATCGCCTTATTTCAATATTTTGGTAAAATTAAACGTAAGAAAATCTATGGCAACCATTAAAATACCTACTTAGATATTTTTGACTTCGTATTTTTTTACAGAATATACTAAAAATAATTAATTTTTTGCTACAAAATATACACAATAATATGTACAAATTTCAGGGTTTTAATCATAAATATAATATAAAAATAACATGCCTGGTCGTATTATTATTACGATTATTAGGTCGTAAGACATTTTATTTCCCTCAAACATAACAGCCAACAGGTCCAAAATTGGTTGTTATGAGCGTTTTATACTTACGTCGAGGTAAATATTTAATAAAATGTACTTTGTACGTTGGCTTATTCTATTTGTACGCGTGTCAAAAAATATAAGCATAGAAAATACACTGGGAAGTCATCACCGTGGTGTATTATAGTATGTGTCAAGACGTCGGTGTACCTCGGTCGTCATTGAGTAAATCACTGTGTAATGGTTGTGTTAAGTGTAAAATTGAAATTAAAAATCATTGCGTACAAAAAAAAACATTCCATAGCAGAGACGGTGATGTCAAATTACTGCTATTATTGCTATATATTTTTTTCATCGGTTATAGCAGGTACAACATTTTAAACTAATTTCAGTAAAAATACCAAATTATTATAGGTACTTATAAGTCAATATTTCGTTGAATAATATGTCGATGTAAAACCGATAATTGTTTAATTAATCTAAAAATATTGAAGCTTTTCGCTTAATTTTTTTTTAATTCCAGAAAGAAAAGCGTTTGAAGAATATTGTTATAATAGTATTATACGAGGTATTATATGTATATTAAATTTAAAATTTAATACATTTTCAACAGCATAATAATTTGAAAATTGTCATGATTTTAGCGAATTTTGAGAAAAGGAATTTTATACTTTGTATACTATTAATAGCTCAAAGTACAAATCCGGTATATTTTACAACCAAAAACACCCTTTACATATAGAATATTTTTCCTTTATAATTAATGTCTTCAAACCCAAGAAAAAAATACACGCATATCATTGTACCTAAATCCAATACACTTATCGTTGCGTTCAAAATCTAAGAGTAGAAGATACTAAAATAATAGTTTTAGACATACTATTTTATCGAGCGACAAAATCAACCAATTCAATTACGTCTAATACATAATTTTAGATAAAACAAAAAAACAATTTCGTGCAAAAAATGTAAGAACCTACAATCAGTGACGTATTTATAGGCACTTACCTACAGTGGCAATTATTTTCGATATTGACTCAGTGAGACTTATAAGTTATAAATTATATTCGTTTTCTGTTATTGTAAAATACTCTAATAACCACAACAGCCTACCAGATTATTTTTAATCATTGAAAACAATAGCTTTGGTTTCAAATTAAATTTAAATTTATCAACGCTTTAACGCTGTCTATCGAGAATATAATATAATATAATAATATATAATATAATAATATATAATATAATATTATATAATATAATATATTATGTAATATAATATAATTGTATAATAATCAAATAATCTAATAATATATTGAAATATTTCCTAATATTGATACAGCGTTGAGAATTTTTGTAAGTGTATCAGAGTCCAATTATAGTATCAAGAGATTGTTTTCATGCTTCAAATAATGCGTATAAAAAGCAAGAATCAAATGTATTGACGTAAATCGATCGTTTAAGAAGACGTGATACCCGTATGTGTTGTCTCTGTCTTACAAGTGCATTATATAGTAAATTTTACGTTCAGCAGAACACGTGTAGCTCCGTTTGCTTAAAAATTAGAGTGAATTGACCTCTTATAAAATTTAAAGATAAGATTATTATCTAGACAACCTCGTATGCTTTTTATTTTATATTAAATTTAAAGCGAGTTATGAGTATTTTAAAATTGTAAATTTTTTGTGCATCTTAAAATACTCATAACTTCCTTTAAAATTTAAATAAAATAAAAAGCATATGAGATTGTCTAGATAATAATCTTATCTTTAAATTTTATAAGAGGTCAATTCACTCTAATTTTTAAGCAAACGGAGCTACACGTGTTCTGCTGAGCGAAAAATGTACCATGTTACGCATTTGTAAGACTGAGACAACATATGCGGGTATCACGTCCTCTTAATAAGTAATTAATTACGTAAGACATTTAGAATGTATCCAATGTGTATTTTGTTACTCTTTATTTTTTTTCTGTTTTTCAACTCCAATAATTATTGTATTTTTGTATTTAAGACACAAATAAATTTTATTTAGCATATACCTACCTAATTAAATTTTATTTTATCGTAATCGAGGCCTCAAGGGTGGCAATTTTCCACAGACCTTACAAGTGATAAATTTATAAAAACGTCTCTGCCTACAATACTATAAGCTAACCTTCAAATTATTGAAGTACTTAATGAAAAACACTAAGAACTCCGATCGTCAGGTTCCACTCTCAGTGTTTTATTTCATTTAGTAAAAATTGATAAGAAGTCATAAATGTGTAAACATTTTTTTTGCTGAAAATTTGGAAAGTTGGTAATGCAAAATGTACTAATAGTGATTTGGATTTCGGCACGGATAAAACTTCGAGGCCGTCGTTATTTTAAAATATGTAATCTAGACATTATGTCATACAAACTTTTCATAAAAATTCAAATAAATAAATATAATAATAATAAGTACACAAAATGAGAATATTATGATTTGTAATGCGCGTAGTGTACGTTTTTAATGAATTATTAACAAAGTTTGGTACTTTGAATTCTTAATTTCTTTGCAGACATCATTTTAGATTTACTTACTCAAAACATGATCTGATGATTTATCAGGCAACTTTTTATTAGTTTAAAACAAAAATTTAATTCCATTATAATACTATTTAAAGCTTATTATTTTGCGTTTTCTGTTGTTCTAAATTCAGTAACTTGGTAGGTAAGTAGGTACCTATATGATATTTATCAAACAGTTGTTTTAACAAATTTTAAACTGCTACAAAAGCTTAAGTGTTATACATACAATATTCGTGTATGATACAAAGTTGTTTGAAAAATATAACACGCGTCTTGTCAAACAGAAAATTTGGTTTGAAATGTTGAATACATTTTAACTTTATTTTCGTAATTTCATAATCGTATCAGCCATAGTAACATTTTTCATAAGTCGAGTGAATATTTCTATAATTAATTACCTCTTTTTCTGTTAAAAAATACAATGATCATACACGCGTATTAAAAGGGGCTTGATGAGCGCTATGGCTTTTACACCTATCTGGCTTAATTTTACGTTTGAATGACGAACATCCATTTTGTCAAATTTGAACTTCAAATGTTCATAAAACTATTCTGGCTTTACGTTTAACTCTTTTTAAAGCTCCAGTAATTGTTACTTCCGAGTAATGGAAGCAATTCTACTAATATGTAGCCAATGTAGGTATTTTCATTTTTCACATAATTGTAGAAAATCATATAATCGCTCCGCTAAATCTGATGCTCTTAGTAATGTTTATATTGTACCTATAGGTCCAAATCATAGTGATTGTTTATTTCTTATAATTATCATAGGTATTATTAATCGAATTTATTTAATCTTAAATGAATTCCAACATAATTTTAAAATACATAAATAATAATATAATATATTTGAGTAATACATTATACTCTTACCTTTTGTATGAGATTTTATCAATTTACATAACATTAATTGTTGTTTATGCAAATGTTTTTTTCTTAATAATGTTATGTTGGAATTAAGACTTGTAGGTTTGTACCCTAAAAGCATAAAATAATTACTAAAATAGTACATTTATGAGTTAATGACTCAAAACACACGAAGAATATGGTCTAAACTTCTAAACATATCACAGTCTATACTTATTACATTGCGAAAAAAGGAAATGTCACTACAGTAGAGGTTGATCAATGTAATTATTTTATTATAATTTATTAGGTATAGTTTTGATATTAAAGTTTACTTGGTTACGCAACGAAATTTAGAAATATTTACAATATATTATTTCCTGTAGTCGCTATAAGTAATGATGTACATAATATTTTTTAAACAAGATAACTTTTAAATAGCCTATATACGAGTAGATACCTGCAACTTACATATACAATATTACATTTCATAACAGCATCAAAGAAAAATTGTACCGGTGTGTAATGTTGAACTTATATTTGTATCGCAATATACCTACATTTTTAATTATTTATTGGTTCTGTTGCAGGAAAGGATTTCAAAAGAACTTAGAGTTAGCATGAACGAATGGAGAGAAATTATTGTATTGTTGAATGCAATAATGTCGTGGCAGAAAAATTGGTTTCCCGCGATTACGGTTTTATGTGTAACGAGTTTATACCTGTAAGTATATTATATGATACATATACTTACCCACTCATTCGTGTGCTCAATTTTTTAGTGATCTATCAGCTATTATCTTTTCAAAATAATAACCTCGTATCATTCGAAATACAAACGTTTAAGAGTGCACCACTGACATGTGTGGTCTTCGTTTAACAAACTTACAACATAGAAAAACTGAAGTTTTCCGCCGAAAAGAACCGAGAAGACTACAGTCATACAATAACTATATTGAACGAAATTTTCATCACTATAAAGAGGAGAAAATTTACTGTACAACATCGTTTTTTTTATTTTTAAACAATAAGAATTTTTTTCATATTATTTTGTGATATCGAACAAATAAAAACGGTGTTACACAGAAGTGTTCTCCTCTTTATAGTGTGAACATGTCGTCTCTTAAATATGATGACTGCAACCTTTTCGGTTCTTTCCTGCGGAAAACAGTTTTTGCTATGTTGTACGTTTGTAAGACAGAGACAATTCAATATGCGGATGTGGCATATTCTTAAAATGGTGTAAAATAATGATAGGTACCTAAATACCTAATTGTTATTTATAATATAGAAGTAGATACGTACAAGATAACGCACGATGTTAATACTGCTATGAAAGTACTTACCTATTAAAAGTTAGATCTAAAGACTAAAATTAATATTAGGTACCTATACGAGTGTGATTTGACTTGGCTGATTAAAATTACACGAATATCCGGTATAATACTCAATATCCATGTCTATTCGAAGGCATTCGTCTCTGTTGATTTCTTTTGATTTAAATGATATACGAGTAATACCAGCCGCTTCTATAGATACAAAAATAATAAAATAATTTTCACTTAATCAAAGCATTTAACCGAATTACTGCACCGATGTTGTATATTACCGCTTAACTTTAAATCACAGTGGAGAGACATTAATATTCTAGAAGCTTGTATAATATTTCTCGTGACATGATTATAATTTTATAATGTTCTATTAACGTCCATTTATTTTTCCCGGAACGTGTACGGATTTTAAATTACAAATTATATGTCCTAGGTTGACTATATTATGATGTTTTATAAAGTCACCCGATCAATTATTACTTATTATTATACACATTTACATTTATAAATATTATTATTTTTTATTACTTTACCACAATAGAAAACTTAAGCATCAGTAGCCCTTCAACCCTTATAGACTACTAAAGTCTAAAGTCCTTCTATTTTTATATACAAATTTATACATAAAAGCGTTACTGAAGAGAAAAAATGTATTTTAAAGTGTACGAAGTCGGTTCACTTGGCAAAAATACGACGAGTAAATATTTTCGATTTTCAAGAGACGAATAAAAAGTTTCAATTAGTTTTTTCTTTTTGAGTATTTTACATTTTGATATAGGTATATTAAATTATACCATTTTGAAATCGCTATTTCCAAGAGTTAATAAGTTTTAGTTTTGATTGAAATTTATCAATTTATCATTGGATCTTCTTTAAATAGTAAAAACTTATGGTTTTCAAAGTAGTATGACATTTAAGTAAACTTCAAAAATCATAATTTGAATAAATGTATTATAAAATAAAAAAGTGGTGTTAGCATGTTTTGCATAACATTTATATAAAATACTTCATGGTTTTATACTTTTCTTTAATTATATATTAAAATATTCGTTCGCTTAACATTGAGAGGAAGGGAATCCTAAAAGGGACGGAATTTATAAGTGCTGTTAATAATGTTATTGACCCGACTCCGACTATTCATTAGGTATTTTAAATATGCCACTGCGAGATATTATACCTATAGGTACTGCAAGTGATCAAAAATTGATTGTTTGCACACTAATTATTGCATATTAGTTAATACTTACGGTATAATAACTGAGATAATAACCTCAAACGTTAAATAGTAGCTTTCGTACAGATTACAGCTGATAATAAGTATACTACTCCGACATATAGAGTTATTAATTTGTTTCTATGGGCAGACCCCGTTTGGACGTTATATGGTTTTTTTAGGTTTTTATAAATTGCACACCAAATTTGGATCAAAATTAAAAATCAATTTCATTAAAAAAAATTTGAAAAATCATATACATATATATTTGCATTATTTTAAAATACATTTCTGCAGCTTTTTATTTGTATTAATTTAAATTCAAATCATTTTATTTTCTCGGTGAACTAGCTCTTTTTTAAATTTTGAATCGGATTTCGATACATTATTTTACTGATTCAATTAAATAGATATTATAATATTAATTATCACTCGGATTTTAGGTACGTGTGGCTGGTCAACTGTTCGATACTAAACATGATATGGATGGCCGGCCTATGCGCGGCTCTGTTGGATTGMATCGTGTGTGGTCCATTTCAAAGAATCTTGCCACCTAGCAGTTGGGATCAGGATAAGGAGCGCACGTTCACGGATATCTCTGATTGGGCAGCAGATTGTTGGGTGACGACAAAGCTGTACATGAGCCGATTTTTCAATCTCAGACAAACACATCCAAAACTGGTAAACGTTTCGAACATCACGGATTTCTATATTTTTATACCAATTCAATGTAATATACAATATACTAATATATCGTAACGCTTCAGTGAAGATATATTTTAGGGAAGGCGATAACATGATGCCATCTCCCTGGAAGTGGGCTTTAGGTTTTTTTCAATCTCTATATCATATAAATAATAATAATTATTATTATTATATAATTATAATAATTCATTTAAAAAAAAAAAACGGAAATCTCAATTTACTCACTACTGTACTGTAAGTTATTTTAATTAACTAGTTATAATCAGAATATATAGATTATTAATCAGTGATTCCCAATTAGCATTGAGCCACRGACTCTTAGCTAAAACTTAAACTAACATACATAAAATACATGAATTGTCGACCTTTTTCGTGATAATCAAGATTCAATAGTGATTGGCGATTGCCAAAAATACCTGAAATTTCAAACCACTACGCGCGTGTTTCATAATTCCACTACATTTTTTTTTTTWTATAATAGAATATATACAATCTGTAAATTGGATTTTTTACAATAAGAATATGAGCTATAGTATATTCCACTAAAATAAAATAAAAATATCTCTTTAGTATTACAATATAACCATCACGAGCCCCCTAACATCAACACGTGGACACTTGGGGTCGGCAGACCATATATTAGGAACCAATGGATTGTTTTATTATTGTTATTATTATTATTATTTTCAATATTTTCTTAGTTTCGTAATTCAATTTTTTTTTTTTTAATCATTACCATAAACCATTACTGAAAAACCCGAGTAGAACGTAGTATAAATACCTCAAAGCCTTAAAATAAGTCTAAATATTTTGAAAATTGTGTATAAAAACAATAATATACGTAAAAGTAAAAAGTTTCATTACGGCTTATAATATTTTAAATACAAATTTTCAAATATTCTTAATTTGGACAAATTATGTTAACATTTAAACTTCAAATATTTATAAAACAGTATCGTGCAAATGTATCTTTAATATTAATTAAATCTTATTATAACAACTTATTATAAATATTGTTTTAAATTTTCAAGCGTTTGTACATCATGCAAATATTTTTATCGACATTTAGACTCAGAATAACTATAAAAAAGAAATAGAAAATTTAAAATATCTGTAAAATAATCCAAAATTTAAAAGTTTTGAAAATTATATCATGTATAGAAAATATTTATATAAATATAAGATGAATATTTCAAGACAAAATCTCTACGGTTATTCTTTTCTAAATCAACAAAAAAACTAAATTTGATTTGATCGAAATCTTATGTTGTGTATTTCGTATTTCACTGTTATAAGAACGCTGCCCAAATCGTTGACAGAAAAACATCATTGTAAAGCCGAATTTGTGTTAGGCTCTCCGTAAAGAAAATAATTCAATAACTTGATTAATGTTGGGCGTGGAGGGCGTGTCGCTGAATCAAAAGTCCTATGTGAAAGTAGCTTAAGTGATATGCTGATTGTTGATATTTAAACACCAGGAAGGGTCTGAATTTCATATTAAAATTGTTTAGCTTCAAAATACTTCGGTGACAATAATTTCTGTTGTTTTTTATTTTATCCGGCAGTGCATAACTCTGAGTGAATAAAAAAATTATATTTATTTTTTTATTTTCGCATAACCCACATTATATAAAAAAACTCGTCTGAGTCGGRCTAATAATTTATACGTATATTCCTAATGCTTTTTTAGTTTCTATTAAGTATTCGCATATAATAAATTTTTATTGTTAGGTAAATATAAAAGTTTTGGCTGCAAAAGGCGGGCGTATAATATAAAAGCATAATATGATATATAGGTATGTCGTATGTAAGTGAATGTATGAATTGGATCGGAAAAAAAACAAACACTAAGAGACACATATGCCTATATCATATGCTATAATAACTATTTTATCTAATAGGCATTTTTCGATAAATGTAATTGTCTTAGAAATTATTGTTTTTAAGTCATTACAATAATCTTTAAAGGTTCAAGTGTTTTACTGTCTTATAAAAGAGCATTCACTTCAGAACCATTTTTCCAAAAAATTCTATGTATACAACTATAATATCTTACAGTCCAATCAACTCAAATATTAGTTTGTTCAACAGCAAAGTATCTAACTGCAGCTATTATTATACATGGAATTGAGTTTTTGAATTTTTATGACAGGTCAGCAGACCCTTAAATCAAACTAAGCACCTCTAGCCCTTGACGTTTGAAACGAAAAATGCGTTATCGGCCATGTTCGCGTATGTTAAACGGAGATAAACTACAACAGACGCTCCCTGTAATATGCATAGAAGTTCTCTTAAAAATGTTAAATATACCTATCACGTCTTTATATTATAGTTTTCAATAACTATATATTTTTTAATTACCGTAGTCCGTATATGGGATAAGTGGGTGAGTGCCTACATTGACTACTGTGTATAATTGCTTTTTTTATACGCAGCAGCAATCACCATTTGCATTTAAAAAAATTAAATTCTTTATTCTCTTAATACGGTTTGAATGTTATTAAATTGTTATAATCGTTCATAAAATAAAAATAAAAACTGCGCCTACATACTTTAATACAGTGTAGGCTTTTGCGACATTTTATCTTTACATTCCACAATTAATAACCCAGTTCGTAATAAATGTATTAAAAATTTAATAACCGCCCTCTCCTGCACTCTCATTACGCGCATGCGTAAAATGTTAGGCATTTATGTTGATCTTTGTGATGACGTGCAACAGTGCAAGTACAAAATTATACAAGCACTATACCACTGTAGCGATCCGTCAATGTGAATTAAACGTTCACAATGAATCTCATCCGCATTGCAGAATATTATTATTGTTTATTTATTTCCATAAATCCTTTTTTTGCTTGCATACTAAAACGTGATGCAGTGTGATGACGTTGCAGTGCAGTGAGAAAAATTTTGAAAAATACGCACATGCGCTTCAAATATAATGCGGGTGTACACATGCAGTTTGTCGGTTTAGGTTTTGTCGAAATAATTCGAATAAATAAGTTCAAAACTATTTATAAACAACCTTTGCAGAACATTTTATAACATTATATTATTTATAGTGCCTACCTAATATAATTTATCTCTAATTAAAAAAATATAAACAAAATATTGATT